AGGTCCTACATTTACATTTTCCCCATTTAACTAAAAGACTCATCTGCTTCATAGATCTGGAATCATTAAATTATATACACAAAAGAAAAATGAAGCTGGAGAGGCTGCAATCACTTTAATTCACTCATAACAAAGTAGAAATTACCAGTACATATAAACTCCTGTATAGGTTGGGGTAGAGGGAGGCTCTTTAGAGCCAATGAACAGCGCTGCACTATGCATATTTTTAATAAACTAATCAATAATTCATTCATCAAGTGCCAATGAATCAGTTCCAGAATAGAGTATTAGGAGCTATTTATATCTGACATCCAGTCTTGAGCCAACCATGATGTTTCCTGCACATCAGACCATAACCACAAACATATATACATGGGAACATACTTTGTGTTACAAATCAACACAGTCTTATAATAATTATTCCCAGCATTTTTTTGGTGTGCTTTTGTACAGATCATTATCACTTAATGGTGCTACTACGTAAAGACACATCATGGTCATTGAAACCTCTACCTCTCTGGTTGAGGAATAATATAATAAATTGATCTTTACATAAAATGCACAAAAACAATAAATGCATCTCTTAACAGTATCATTATCAATTTACATCAAAATATCTTGGGTATTTTCTCACAAAATTTATTTCCTAATATAGAAAGGCTTCCCACATTCCTTACAGACGTCTGTCATTTTTAGAAAACTCTGAGTACTTTTGTAATGAATACCACAAAAAGCCAACTCAATGAGCAGGTTTAAAACTTGTTACTCAAGTTTTTACAAAAACAGTTTTAGTGCAAGTAGAAAATATAATTCCTCTACTTTAGATTTGTTTCTTTCACAAAATATACACATAAAGAATGTTGTCATTGTAACTTTTTGGTGTGCTTTTCTATTAGAGTTTAATATTTTCTGCCCTTATTTATATGAAAAAAATTATTGGGTTTTTCTGTTTGATGTCACTAGAATAGATATCACTTAAAAATGTGACTAAGAAGCTCCAAACTTAAGCAGAGTCTTCCTTCTTCAGCAGCAAAATATTTATCTTGTTATAAATAAACTCAAAAAAGAAAAAGAAAGAAAGAAAAGAAAAGAAAAAGCCCACCTGGAAATTTTCCTTATCTGGCTGAGAGAAAAAAAAATTCTAAACTCTATTCATTCTTCTAACTGTTCAAACACCTTTGTATTCTTTCAAAGTAAACTGCCTGGCAAAATCCATAAATATATTTAAGCAGTTTATATAGGTCAGCTAATATAGGTTATGCTTTTTTAAGTACCTCTGACTAAGCACTCTCTGCATTTTGCTAACAAAGTAACAGTACATAATAATATTTTAATCAACCACAAAGGACAATAATAGATCTGACTGCTGGACTGATAATCGTCTTATCACACCTTGTGAAACCAAGCTCTAATATTTGACGGCGCCTCCATTCCTTGGCAGCCCATTCTAAAAAAGGCCAACAATGGAGAGAGAATGAAGTGGAGTGTGCAGGACCTCCGTATCTACATAAAAGAGATTAGAGGCGACAGCGTTCCATTTTACAGCTCAATCATATTGTGTTAGCATGCGCTTATCCGAGCGGGGACGAAATTGAAAGAGAAATAAAAAAGAGGCAGGCAGATAGGAACCAGAAAAGCGAGGCATGAGCAATTTCCAAGGATATAAAAGGATGCTAATGGCGGGGCCCTGTCATTCTTAAAAAGGGCTATTAGGGCACCATCATCTGTTCTGGTGCCCTTATGGTCCCCCAACTAAAGTCAAGCACTTTCTAAAGCCCTTATGATCTCTTCTCTTGAACAGATAAAGTATGGTCACGTTTCACAACAACACACTTTTTCTTTATATTATTTATCTGAATAAGTAAGCTAACTCTATTTATTGGGGGGAAATGCCACTCTATATGTGTTTTTCTCCAAAGTTGTCTTTTGTTGAATTCTTCACATTTTTAGGTAATATGAGCAAGTGTTTGAAAGTACCTTCTCAGCAGGACAGAAATGCCGCTATTATCTCAGATACTAAATTAATTTTCAAAAGGTATCATCTACGTATGTGTATTTGCATGATTACAAGGGCTGAGAGCAGCAGAAAAGAGCGATGGCTTGAATTTTAGTATATAAGCATCTGTTATATGTGTGTGTGTATATATGTATATATATATATACATGCATCTATATATATATAATATTTCATTTTTTATTTTTAACATAGCATCACAAAAACTAAGTTTTGAAGTTAAGACAGCCAAGTGATATCTCAATTTTGAGTTAGCTTTAATTCAGGACTGGGCCATATTATCAATGTTTTACTTTCATCAAGGCAGAAAGGTGACTTTTGTCTTGCTATTGTCTCTGTATTTGCCCACCATTCATTCTGCCCCATGCTCCTGTGTTTGGCCCTATGAGGCCTGGGTCTACCAGCCTTTTCTATCAGAGCATCTCTTCTAACCTCAACACACTGTAAGGCATCCATTGCTAAAAAATTAAAAGAAATTCAGTCAATTCTTGTTTTGCTAATCCTCTCTGAAAAGCCAAGATACTCCTTGCAATCATTTAAAGCACCCTCGGGGTACAGGAAAGCCTGAACTCTGAATCATCACTCCACGGTGACCTCCTGTGGCATTTGCTATGGAGAGAGAATAACGTCAGTTCCCACCAATTCTAAGCCTCAGCTTAAGACTGAACACATAATCATAGAGTAATTGTTTCCACCACTGGAAATGCTGTTACTCACAGTTATTTAAAGTTACTGTCGTCACAAAAGTCACGAGAGCCCCTTTACTGTGATAAGTTCGGTGGTAAGCTGGCATTTCAACGTAGGCACAACTGGACCCACATCCATCACTGACTTTTCTTACCAGAGAAAGAGTTGTTGACTCTTATTGATCTTTATTATGGAAGGTCTGCATAATATCAAAATGTTGGCTTAACAAATCTTTTAATTCAGAGGGAACAAGGGCAGAATCTGCTGAACTAATGGGTGGCTCAGAGGTGTGAGGACAGTTTTCATGATGCTATTATTAATAACAACTTGGTCATCATTATATCTTGAAATATATTTCTACAAATACAGTCAACTGGGAGACTAAACTACCCTCATTTTACTCTGAGGAAGTTAGAAGCAAAGCTGAAATATATTCTTTGAAGGCACTGAATGAGATGGTGAACTTACGTGTTTTCACCTTTCTCTGTTCCCCCTTTAAATAAAGGATAATAAAAATTTGATTTCTGGGTTCAAACAATGGTTATGGAGAAAAGTGTTTGCCCTCCCTCAAGAATATGTATCAAGGCCTAGAGACATTTATGCATTACGACTCAGAGTTGCTAGTGGGTGGAAGTTAAGGATGCTGCTTAGCCGGGAAAGTGCCCACAACAAAGGACTATCTGCTTCCAATTATCAACAGTGTCAAGGTTTACAGACTCTGGGCTGGAATAGGATGCTTTGAATATGTGTGTGTGTGTGTGTATGTGTGTATGAATATATAGTGATAGAATAAACATGGTGTATAAATACAAATGATGTAATTATCTTAAAAAGTGTTTATGAACACTTGAACCAATGTAAGAATTTTTTCTGTCTGGCTAAAGCCATTTATATCACTTTTTTCCAAACAAGTTTTCAAATATTCTTTAAAGCAATTGTGGCTATTCCCATTGCCATAATTCCCAAATGTTTTTCCATCTTTTAACATAATCTTATATCCTCTTTTTGGTATTCTTGCTTTCCCTAAAAGTCATAGAGATGTGATTATATTTCAAACACAATGTCAACTATCTACATGATCGAATTCTCAACCTTCCTTTAGCAGCAGTGACTTCAGCATAGGTATCTTCTAAAGAACACACTCAAGCTCACCTATTTAACTAGTTTTGACTTAATTTAGAGTGCTTTATTAGCAAACAGTGTAAGACAAAGTAGCTGGTATAATACAGAGTGATGTTTAAATTAGTTTACAATTTGCTTGGCCTCATCGAGAACTGCACCGAACAAAGCCATTCAGAAATGTCAGCTGTGTTCCTAACCACTGTAACAAATTGTCGCCCAAACGCTGCACACCTAATGACTTCAAATTAGCTTCACTGCGATAGCGCCTGACAGTTCGTTACGACTGTTAGCAACATAGCTGGCGTATCATGACCAATAAATTGGTTTCAGTGTGGGCTGGGAAAGGGACTTCCATCAATTTGATTAAAGAAATTACTGTAGCATTCAAAGCATAAAGACAAACTAGTTTAAGGAGACAGGAGTAAGTTAACTGTACCAGAAAAACACTGCTCATCATTCAAAAACTTGTTAGAAACTATTTGAAGATCAAAGTTCAAACAAACAATCCAAAAATAATTCAAGGAAACCACTAAAATTTGCAAAATTTAGGATGGGGTATATGTTTATGGATACTATAGGATGAGTCAAGGAAAACATACGACCTTTAAAAACATAACATTTAAACTACTACATGAAGAAATGTATGGTTTTATATATTTAACAGTGAATTTCATCATTTATGTATAAAGTTCTAGTAAATATTTAATTGTAAACCAAAATTAAGCTTGTGAATATGAACAGCAATTCAGCATAAAAAGCTGCCAAGATCAAAAAATTAAATAATAAAATGATTCTTCAAAGGAAAAAAAAGGTGCACTAATCTACTGCTGAAGAGAAAAAAAGCAGAAGCATCTCCTTTGAAAGAAAGCTCAGAATTTAAACAGCAATCCAGAAACATTTGTAAGGCTATATCCTTTTTACCTTACATTGGCAGCAATACCTTCATATGTGAAAAGATAATTAGCAAGAGTTCAAGGTGAATACACATACAAAGAGTTATGGTTCTCTTTTAGGATGAGGAAAGCATTGCATTAAGTATGATGAAAACAAAAGAAAAGGTTAAAACATATCCCAAGTGGGACATTTGTAATCTTCCTAAATCTACGTGTATGACCTAGAGAATTTTCATTGCAACCTTATATTTTCATTCTTTTTTTTTCCTATTGAGAAAATGTACCTGGAATATGCTTCGCCCATCCGATGATAACCACCAATTCTCGGTCGGCCAAGTCGCACAGAGTTGTGAGGGCTTTGATGTCACTGTCGGGGACGGTGGGGTCAGGCATGGCATAGATCTTCTCCGGTTCAGCCACCAACAAATGTGAGACAATCTTGTTATCTGCAGGGTCAGACCAGAGCACTACAAGATCACTAGTAGCATCGTCTCTCTTTCACAAATCCTAAAGTATGCCGTGTTTTGAAAAGCAATTTGAATTGCTTACAGTAAGCACCAAATATTCTATATGTGTACATATATGTGTACATTACATGTATATATTCAACAGTGTTCAGGACAACTCATAGTGAAACTCAGACACACCAGTCATAAAAAAGTATTCCTTTCTTCTTCTCTGCTCCACCTGCCTTGACCTGAATAAAGCATCTGTCCTGTAATGAAAATTTTTATAGCAAACAGACAAGAGAAGTTGGATGCTTCCTGGGTTTGATCTTTGATTTTTAAGTGGGACATAGGGAGGCCGATTAAATAGGATACCACAGCTTGAAAATAAAATCTACAATGAAGCATTGAAATATAGACTATAACATGGGAGGCAAAGAACTACTAATGCCCACAGTCATAATAATGGGCAAGAAAGTCATTAATTATCTTAATTCCTTTAAGGAAGACCAAAGGTCAAAACCCTTCTCTCTGGGTGAATTACTGACTATATAACTCTATCTCTGTGGGATGCATTAAATAGGAATTTCTTTCCTTCCTTTCCCTCCCCACACATCCAACCAATCTTCCAAATACAACCAATAGTAGCTTCCAGAAAAACACTCCTACTTAATGGCTACAGCATTTTTTCTTTGGAGTGTCTAATTCTTTTATCCTCTATTTTCATCTGTTGTCTTTAGTTCATTCTCTGGTTCAGATTTATCTGTCTAAAATTTGTGATATATGTTTTTAAAATCCTTCATAAAATAAGCACTAGAGACAAATGGAAAGCATCCCATCAAATGTGCTTTATTGCTTAGGGGCATGTGAGACTTTATGGAAGGGGTTGTAACGACTTGCGAAAGGAATGATGTGTTCTGTTGGCCCTATTTTCAATCTCCACATGTAGCTCTGCTACATGCTTTCTTCTAAGTGAGGGGCTACAAATAGATAAGAACAAACCCAAATATTCCTAGGTTCTATGTAATATTACTTTAGAAAATTGGCATGTTAAGCGGGTTCTTTATGAGCAAAATCCAAAATTTCTCTGTTTTCTAGAAATTTTATTTTCATAGTCAGTGTTTAACTTTTTAACTCAAAATACAAAGATTTTATATACCTCAGAATTAAATAAAGTAGCATTATTTTTATTTGCTTTAATTAAAAAACAAAAAACAAAAATCACAGAGACTTACCCAAGATATAATCAGCATTTTTTTTTTCTGGCATCTTTTAAACAGTTATCACTATGACTGCCAAATGAAATGTACTTATTACAAGTAATAGATTTATTGGAAGAACTATTAAATTCTCACAAAATTCAAAGTATAGACTTTGGAGGAAATATTCACAAATTTTGTAATTTCTGTTCAAATTAAACAAAAGTTCAAATAAAAGTTTTAAAATAAAATTTCAAATAAAACATAGTTTTTTAATTTACAAAGATCTTCAAAGAATGACATTGGTTTCTTGGAAGCATGATTAGAAACAATACCCTGTATTTTTAGTTACGCTTGGGAAAGTTTTCATTTTCATTGCTCTGACAATGCAGCGAAACCTGTCAGCAACATCTAGATTCTCAGTATTAAAAAAAGAAAGAAAGAAAAGTGTAATCACAAAAGATGCAAAAATTTAACCCAAAGAAATCTTAATTCTAGTTCTTTTAGGGCTGGAAAATGCTACCAGTTTCAGGCAAGTCCTTGGAGACTTGTCTTGAGGGCTCAGAGAAATTCAGCTGAAGGTTAGAAATTCCCATCATTCAGAAAATGGAAGGGCCGGCAGCACTGTTTCTAGGTAAGTCTTATTTAATGTTTTCCTAATTAGAATCAATAGAACCCAATTTTCATTCTTGGGCTTTTGTAGCATGCCATCAGTCAGGGCCCAGAAATCTCCCCCAGCCACTTCCTCAGCAAAGCCCATGCACACAGTCTCTTGACACTTATCTGACAGGATCTGAAAATTAAGTTTTATAAATGTTTGTTACGAAAACACACTAATTGGATGGACTAAGGAAAATTAACACAGAGGCCTTGAGATAATGAGTAATGATTTATTAGGAGTCCTCTTTATCTCAGACAAATGGAGCTCACTGAAATTGCAGTAATCTTCTTAAAGGTACTTGACAAGCCACTTCCCAATTTCCCAGGTTTACGCAAAAAACCCTAGATATTTCTCCAGCATGTGGACTTACAAATTGGCTCGTGCTCATTTTTCTCTCAGAGGGAATTATCAATGGTTTCAGTCCACGTTTGTATGAAGTGAGTGAGGAATGGGCAGTCTGTATATTATTGAATCCAGGAAAATGAAACCTCTAATGAAATTAAGCATTAGTGTTTATAGCATTTTATTCTATTATCAGAAAGTTTTTTATTATAATGTGCAAAATCTGCTTAATGCTGTCCTAGAGTGTATTTGCAGAATCCCAAACAGCTTATGCAGCAGAGAAGACGCCAGATTGGACAATTGAAGGTATAATCAACATAATGTTTTTTGGAAAGGCAAAAGGAAACTATGCCATATGTTCACTTAAGCTTTAATTTTATGTAAAACTGGTTGTTTTTCCTTTGACATAGCTAAAATGTCCTTTCGTTTACAGTTCAGAGTCTGCTTTATTTATTTAACGGATCCCCATATGCTCACACGTATGATACACGGCAGTGACCCCTCCTGGAGAATCGGAATTAGAAGAGGACACTTATTTTCTTCCCTTGAAAGCAGATCACGCATGTCTTTTCTAGAACTGCTACAGATGCAATATCGTCTGGGGAGTGCAGCTGTGTCTTCAGAGACCGACACAGCTGAATGTGAGAATGTGAGAGTTTCCAACAAAATACTTCCAGGGTCTGGCCTGCTCCCTATGCAAAAATCATCCTTGGTCGCAAACTCTGTGGCATTATAGTGCTGAACTTATTTTTTCAATAAATGAACTACCGTGGTTGCCTCGATCTACACTCTAGCTCCTTTTTAGCTAGTGACAAAGAGAATGGGGCTTGCACTACATAAATATTCCCGTTATTCTTTCAAATTGCACGTTGGCATTATAGAACCCGGGGCTCCTTCGAAACAATTCATCATGCCCATCAGGGCATCTGAGATGGAACCACCAACCTATGCTGGTTATTAGTAGGCCCATTCTCATTTTAATCTATTGCTAGCTAGTGTGTTAACCTTCTATAGTTCCAAATTAATGAGGCTCCTAATGTATTTTCATTGGGAGGTTGAGCAGTCATTTAGTTAGTGAAAACCACAAAAATCACTTTCTTGTGAAATCTGAAACGAACAGCTTCAATGAACTAATGATCACAGTATGATCCATTTTATGTACCTCTGAAAAGAAAGATAACCAGAAAATGTAAAATTCACACTATGTAAGCAATGCCTTAATATGCTTCTGCTTTCATGAAAATAGGTGAGAAGAGGTAAGGGCAGGGGGAGGAAAGCCACAGGGGGTAAAAAAGATAATTAGCTGAGCTGCTGTAGCTTCTCACAGGCAGTCCTTGGGAGCAGAGCCACGGCCCCCCAACAAAGAGAAGTCTCCTTGGAGTCAGTGTGGATGGCCATGCCAAAGAGGATGTACCTGGAGCCAACTGGGAGGAGTTCCTATGTTGGAAAGCCAGACCCGTCTGCTGTACTTACATGGCTTTTTGGCGGGCTGAACCAGCTGAGGATTCAGGTATGGGCTGTTCTCCGCATCTATTCTGCGCTTGTACTTCTGCCGACCACCACGTACTCTGTCCAGACGCACCCCTGTGGGGAAAGAGAGGCACAGGCTTACTCTCGAGCTAGTTTATCACTGAGACCTATCCATGACAAAGCTGGTATCACCAAGGTCCGTGATGGAGACAGACAGTAGATTAAAGAATGGTCTAGGGGCCCTAGAACAGTATAAATAAAATCGTCCTGGTTAAACCAAGATTGGCAGTAGTTGGAAACCAAATCTGGCAGAGGATAGCAAACCTGAAAGGCATTTTATGTAAGGCCATGAAAATCACATTTCCCCATCAAAGGAATGACACATTTCCAAGTACACTAACGCACAAAACCAAACAAACAGCAACAACAAAACCCATGTTACTTGGTGCTAGGAGAGTTTCTAATTAAAGACATCGGTGATGTGTCCATTTATCACTCACCCCTGAGAGTGCAATGCCATCAGACTGTGTATACCAGGTACCTCCCTGTCTACCAGAGGGCTGTACACTGTGCAATGAGGTGAAAACACCTGCACCAGGGCAGAGCTGATTCACAGCACACAAAATGAGAGGCCAGTGTTGTTCCACAGGATAGTACCGATGTAAGGAGAATGTTATTTGCATTTGGTACACATTCTTTCAAATGAAAGGAAATGAGATCAGGGTTGAACCAAACACAGGACGGAAAGAACAACCTCCAAAAGGAATTCTGAATGCTAGGATGCTGAGGCAGGGACACACGCTTGTGTCAAGAATTGGAGGGTGGGGCCCTCCTAGTGATGCAACGGGTTAGGACTCAGCACTGCAAGCTGGCCACAGCCATTTCAGTGCGAGTTTGATTCCTGCTGGAGGTGACCCACATGGCGCAGCTGACCTCTCCTGTCTTGCCCTCTGCTCCCCTCAGCAGTGTACTTCATCCATCTGCCTGTTATTCTCCCCACTCTGTCTCTGGTGAATCCTCTCACCACTCCTGCGCCTCTGCCCTGCACCTCAGTTCTAGATGCATAAATAAATAAATCTTAAAAAAAAAAAAAGAATTGGAGGGTATAGGTAGGAATTGGGTACCAGTAGACTGGTACTCAGCAAAACTTTATTCCCAAGAATGGTGACTTTGGTCATGATCCTGTGAGTTTTTGCTAGCAGAGGATTTGAGAAATTAAGGGAACAAAGGTCAAATGGAAAGGAAGGGATTAAAAATAAACACTTCATTTTTATAGGGGAATGGTGGGGGAGAATTTGTTAATAAACTGGTTTTCAATCTGTAATGAAAAAGTTTTTGGAAAGACCATATAATTCAAGTAAAGGGGAAGATACTTTGGAATAAGAGCAAACAGAAAGAACCTTCATGGAGTGCTAAATTGTATCTTAACTGATAATATGGTGGAATATTATTCATTGGTGCCCATTATTCATGTTAACAATTATTGTACATACTTTGGCAATTCACAAACCGTTTAGAAAATAGATTTAGTTTAACAGCAGCATTAGCATGATCACTCTTCTAAGGAGGTTGGGCTCTCAGGGTAGGTAGTAGCATGCACACAGCTTCTCTTAAACTCTAAGAGGGAGATACAGCCCATAGAGTATGTGCAAGGCAGTTTAACCAAGGATCCTGCTTGAGGAAATACTTATTAAAATCACATAGAAAGTATGAGTTGTGTGCCATCTGAGAGGCCTGAAACAGTACAAGAAAGGGTATATTTCCAAGGGAATCGAGGAGAACACACACACTCCTTAAGATTACTAATGCTACCAGATAAAGAATAAAAATACTATTTTATATTTTCTTAATAATACGACTTTAAGTATTTTAATGAAGCATACAAATATGAACTAAGCTCAAATAAAGCCTGAAACAGTTATTGAAACAGGAAAGAGCAGTTTAAATGAAACAGAGACAACTTCATAAGTTAGATAAGAAATTTAAGTACCCCCAAACAGTTAGGTACACTGTTACAATGTTTATGAAAACAACAGGGTGTATGAGTCACAAAGAAGCTACATTTCTTTCACATTGTGCCTTTGTCCATCTAATGGCTAATGCCCTGTGTTTGCTGTATCTATATTCACTTTATTAGAGCTTAACACCTTCCCCATGTTCCTATTTATTAGGTTTTATCTTTGTAATTTCTCCTTTCTCACAACTTCCTCCAAGATATTCTTCCAGATTTTATAAGGTGGTCACATTCTATCTTGTCAGCTAAGAAAAACTCAAATCTGTTTCATTATTAGAGAGTTGAAAAAGTCAAAATCACATTATATAGTTAAAAGCATAAAACACTCATTGAATCTTAACCCTCTTGAACTCCAGCCTAGTGGGAACACTGATCTATACATGATGAGAGGTGTGGAGAGAAGACAGGCAGGAAGAAAGACAATAGTAGATAACAGGCAATAAATAAATAAATAAATAAATAAAAGAAAGAAAGAAAAAAGGAGAACATTTGGGACATTTCTAACATTGTTAGAATCAGGAATACTTACAATAAATCTTCATTATGTTTGTGGACTCTTAATTTTTTTTTTTTTAATGTTTTCAGGGAATTCGTTAGGCAGTAGCAAACTCTGTGAGCCCCAAACATGGAGCTATCCAGGGCATATCTTCCAACACAGAAGTCAGAGCTAGAGAGTTTCATATGATGGATTTTGTTCATTGCGATGGATTCAAGACCAAAATCAAGGCTGGAAGAGTTTATTTCAGGTCCTGTCTGGAAACAATCTGACCCCTAGTCCTGGCAGCTCAAAGACACCAATTGGCTTGCCAGCCCAGTGGGAACGGCAAGTCTAGGGAAGGGATAACCAAACAGTCACATCATAAAAAAAAAAACAAAAAACAAAAAACAAAAAAAAACAGACACAGTCTGCAAACAGCAGAATGTACATATGATGATGAGTATTGTTTCATATTTGTAGAGAAGTATTATCAAATAACTTCACTCCTGTGCATTTCCTGATTTGAACACTGACTTACAGAAATATTCATACTTTCTCCATGCTTCCCTGGAGGCTAAGGGAGTATTCTAACACGCAGTTTCATTCTCCTCCTGCCCCCACTACTCCTTCCTGATGTGTGGGTAGACAAAAAGCTCTCTATCCATTCATTCATCCCTTTGAGCCACGGTGTCCAGTACTAAATATCAAGAACTTTTTATATTCTAACTTTGTTTCCTAAAATAAGGATCACTTGTACAAAATGTTCTTTTATGACTTGTAATTTTATGTATATGCTACCCAATATATTACTGTAAAAAATTAGATATCGATACTCTTTCCAAAAAAAAAAATATATAATATATATATATATATATATATATATATATATATATATATATATATATATATATATATATATATATAAAGTATAAAATTCTAGTAGGTGTAGAAAAGTGTCCCTGCTGAGTTCAGATAAAAATTAACATTTCCAGTGCCAATAAATTTTAAAGGAGCCTGATCACTTACAAGCATGAAAATTTCATTCTAAAGTTTAAGGGCCAAAGAGGTAAATATCAATAATTTCGAGTACTTCAAGTAAAAAGAGTCCACCTATTTTACCCTCTTCAAAACCTGCTGTTAGGCACCAGCTAAAGGGGTGATGGCTGTCATTTAGTTCAACTGATTTCATACTCGGTGAAATGCTTTAAGTCAAGTCCTATAACTCAAAACTGCAATATCACACTTAAGTGAGTCGCTCATTCTTTCAGTTCCTTTGGGGGAAAGAGACCACTAAACAATGCCAATGTTGCCCCTCTCTCCCCTCTTTCCTCTCAGCCTCCCATAGGACAACCATTAAAACACAACCACAAACAAAGACACACCAGTGCTCCTAGTTAAACCAGCCAGAATATGTCCTCCAACATATGGACACAGTCCCTTACTTGTGTATTCTGGAAACAGGTTTACTCTCCTGAGTTATAACAGTAAAGGCATTTGAATTTTAATATTATTTAAACTATTTATTTAATTTATTTATGCATACAAGTAGGCCAGAGGGGGTTGGGGTGGGGATGGTATGTGAAAGGATTCGCCAGAGACAGAGTGGGGACCAGCACAGAAGAATTGACTGAAATCCACTGCTGAGGGGAGAAACAGATGAGGCAGGAGAGGTCTGCTGTGCCATGTGGGTCAGCTTCCCAGCTGGGTTCAAACTTGTGCTGCAGTGAATGCCTATAGCCGGATAGTGTTGAGACTTAACCCCTCAGGGAGGCCTTTAATAATGTTATTTCAAATGGTGTCATAAGACAAAACCATCCAGATAACAGTAATAGATTTTTATATTTTCAGTATATTTCTGTTTTCATAAAAAAACATATTTTTTAAAAATAAAGGCATTAGCGGCCCTCCCTGGTGGCGCAGCGGGTTAAAGCACAGCACTAAGAAGCTTGAGCCACTTCCTCATGAGTTCGATCCCTGCCTGCCCCAGAGGAGATCCACATGGCGAAGCAGACCTCTCCTGGCCTGCCCGCCACTCCCCTCAGCGGTGTACTTCGTAGATCTGCCTGTTCTGCCCCTCTCTCTGTCTCTGGTGAAGCCTCTCGCCCTCTGCATCCCTGGCCTGTACCCCAGTTCTATATGAATAAATAAATAAATCTTTAAAAAAATAAAGACATTAGCAAAATTAAAACAGCACATCACAAATGAAGGTAGGATGAAAGGAAAACATTTTCCTTTAATTTCTCCTAATTTCATGAAAACAAACTCACAAATTGGGATATTACACTTCTTTTGGCTAGGATATTAATTTCACAGAGCTATAAGGCAGACTGCGAAGGACAGAAACATTTAATTAGAACGTGATGTTGCTAAAGTTTAAATGAAGACACTGTAGAGCTGACTTCCTTCTTGTCTCTGGCCCTAGACACTGGAACACATTGAAATGATATGCTGAGTTACAAAAGCATGGAAAGTGAAAGGGGTTTCATAGAAGAAATCATAGAAGAAAGGAAAGGCAGGGCTCTCCCCGGTGGCACAACGGGTTAGGACACAGCACTGCAAGCTGGCTGCAGCCACTTCAGTACGAGTTCCGTCCCCACCCCAGAGGTGACCCACAGGGTGCCG